TTTTATTTTTTAAAATTTTTTATTTGAATTTATTTTTAAATTTAATTTTTATTTTTTGTATTTTTTATTTTATTTTTAAACTATAATTTTTTTTTATTAATATTTAATTTTTTTATTTTTTATTTTTTTAAATTAGAATTCAAATTGGTTTATTTAACCTGAATTAGGTTCGTTGAACCTGAATTGGGTTCATTTGAACCTAAATTAGGTTCGTTGAACCCGAATTTGGTTCCTTGAACCCAAATTTGGTTCATTTGAACCTAAATTAACTCGAATTTGGTTTCTTGAACCTGAATTTGGTTCATCCGAACCTAAATTAGGTTTATTGAACTCGAATTTGGTTTCTTGAACCTGAATTTGGTTCATTTGAACCTAAATTAGATTTGTTGAACCCGGATTTGGTTTATTGAACCTGAATTTGGTTCGTTGAACCTGAATTTGGTTCGCGCTTTATAATAGTGACTATATGACAAATTATTATGTGACAAATAAACATTTACTAATATAATGCATTAGTAATTATTTATTTGTCACATGATAATTCATCACATAGTTTATAATTCTGCTTTATGATAGAAGGTAAGGGCGTGATTATTTGTCCATGTGACAAATAAATATTTACTATGTAATATCTATATTAAATACTTATTTGTCACATGATAATCTGTCACCCCTCAACTTCGGATAAAATGATAGAAAGTGAAGGTGTGACCAATCATCTATGTGACGAATAAACATTTGCAATATTACATCTATATTTAATACTTATTCGTCACATGATAATCTATCACATCCTTAATTTCGCATAAAAAATAAATAGCATTACAGGGGTGGGTACGTATAAATTTTTTAAAAAAAGCGTTACATTACAGGGGCGTGACCCAGAACTCCCACAGGTAAGTGATAGATGTGATGAATCATTTATGTGACAAATAACCATCTACTAATTAATCATATTAGTAAATGATTATTAATCACATAATAATTCATCACTTTTTCAAATTCATAAAACAAAGTTCTGCGTCACGCTTTTTACATAGTCAGGTCACGCATAAAATCGTGACACAGAACTCCGCTTTATTTACGTGAGGATTAGACCGATGGTAGACATCCCAATATGTGATGGACTTTATGCAATCCACAAAGTTATTCCAGAAATATACGGTAGTTAACATAAAAATGCTTGGTTTGTACATTGCTGATTTTGGTTTACGTAAGCAATTGTGGTTAAAAATATGAAATTCGCAAAGTACTTTACTGATATATTGATTCAGTTCGCGTAATATAAAGAAGGAAAAGAATATACGGGATCTTTGCTAGGAAAATCATAATAAATCTATTTTTAGAAAAAAAATTCTTAGCAAAGACCCCATACAGTACCGATTTTCCCAGCGTAACCACCAACAAAAACTCGGGTCTGTGATGATCGAAAATGCTTAAAGCTCAGTAATATTAGGTTAGGAATTATATTCCGATTTACCAAATGAATTATACAGTAAAATAACTTAAGGAAAACTTTTTGTTAGGACTCTAAAAACGATTTCATATTCAAATTTTTGAGAAATAAGCGATTTTTTAAAAAATGTGTTTCGTTTGAATTTTTCTTATTGTGTTACATTACACCAAATTATGTTTAATCATTGGTCTATAATCACGTGCCAGAGTTTTTGGCAATACGTCACTGTGATCTTTGTGATTTAAACTATGATACGTATAGTTAAAATAAATATATGTACGAATGCGTTTACAATTGCAGAAATTAAATATGGGTTGTGATGGTTGGAAAATAGGTTAGACATAATGTTAATATAGATCAAGGGTTTGAGTTAATCACCGTAATGACTGTATTATTGTCTACAACATCGTATTGCTATTTCACCTACAGACCATTTTTTCGACAAGACATATATTTGAGATAGGGGAAATTCATGGAGATTTGTCTTGTCAAGAAAACATAAAATATACTGTCGAGAATATAGAAAAAGATTAGTTGGGAAATAGCTTTCAAAGAATCCTACCGTAATAATTTACAGGTGTGAACTACAAATTACATATGCAGTACCTATAATCAGTGTTGTACGTGGACAGCCCTTGGACAAGATTTTGGACACTGGACAAAAAAAAAATAAAGTGAATTTATTCAAAATTTTATTAAGCAAAAATGTTTAGAATTAAACGAAGAGTATAATTATGAAATTTTATTTCTATCATATTACTAAAATATTTAAGGCTATGGACAGCTTGGACACTTTGGACGTTGGACATGCCAAAACGTACAACATTGCCTATAATATACCCCTAAAAAAAGTTACAGTACGTATCTGAGTTTAAATTTTCTCCAAACAAAGTCCTATGTTTAAATTAGAAGTATGCTTCTTTCGCTTCATTGAATATTCGCAAAATTACATTCAATTTTTTTTTATTATGATATCAATCTTTGCAAAATAATAATTACGTTTGTGCTCGCAAAAGAAAAAATTTTATTATACGAAGAATTTTTTCATTTTCTTCCGTCATGTTGAATTTATTCTTGTTCGTATCTATTAATTTTTTCTTTTAATATTTCTTAACCTTATTTTAATTTAAATCGATTATATATATCACCGTGTTTTTTTTTAGGAAATATCAAATTAATTTTAAAAATAAACAAAATACTTTTTATTTAAAAATATTATTTATTATAATTTTGCACACTTACTATAAATTTGCTAAAACGAAAATTTTTTATAGCTTAAAATAACCAAATTAATTTGACATCGCTAGTTCAAAATCGCTACGTACGGTTTTTTTTTAACTCGTATGCTTTACAGAGGCGTATGATATTTTTACAGATATTGATAGCTGACATAAGTTGTGTGTAATGACGCATTAAAGTTACACTACAGAAAACAGAGACCTGTCATTTTTTATTGTATCACATGTAAATGAGTCATACGAGTTGATCTTTTAAACAATTAATATAAAAAAAGTGAATGATGTATGCACAAAGGATAACCTAATAAGGAAAAAAAAATAAATTACCAATCCCAAGTGAACGTCAGTATGACAGATTAAATGCGTGTTTCGCCGATTCAAGGATTCCCGCAAATATCCGGGATAAATAATCAATGAAATCTAAAATCAGGGAATAAAAAGATGCACCTCGAAAAAAGGTGCAAAAAAAAAAAAAAAAAAAAAACTTTTTAAAATTCATTCCTTTAAAAACATTTCATTAATTTTCTTAATAATCAAAACTCTTTTTTCAATAATTAAAGTGCAAGTTAATCCTTTTATTTTAAAGATGATGTTGAGAGTAAATGAATTATTATCAAGATCAATTTTTTCAAAACAAACATTTAGTAATTCTGGCGTTAATAATTTTGGTAGATACTTGAATCGTTCAATCCATCATGATAATAAATACTTGAGCCGTCATTTAATCCATAATAATAAAAATAAAAATAATAATAGAAATATTATTATTACAAATTTAATAAAACAACGATCCAGTCAATTATTTAAAAGCAAATATTTATATATATCTAATAATGAATCGACCAAATCGATTAAATCATTCGACAACATAAAATATCATTTATTTCATAGTTCAGCGCAAGCCGCAGTTGTACCAATCCTTCCGACAATTTTATTTACAATTCCTTTGAGCATTCCTTACCTATTATTATTAAGATTTGCGACATCAAAGTTTCTTTTACCTTCAACTCGCACCAAAATTTCTAAATTCTTTGCCTCAATATTAATTTTACCACCAATAATATTTTTATCAACATTTGATACTGCACCTAATACAAACAGATATCGATTCATGATATTATGGCCATGGGAAGAACAAAAATTAGTTCAGATATCTAAAGAAAATGTTGAAACAGTAATAGGATCAGAAGCTTTAGTACCTTCAGATGATCCAAGAACTCAAATGTTTGAACAAATTTGTCATAGATTATGGAAACAAGGAGTTATAGAGAAATATAAAAATAATGTGATGATTAAAGAACCAATAGTTTATCTTATAGATAATGAAGAACTTTTGGATGGTGTATCATATCCTTGTTCAGCTATAACTTTAACAACATGTTGGTTAAGATTATTAGATTATGATGAAAATCTTATTGCGGCAATAATTGCACATGAAATTGCACATATTATACAAAATCATGCAAGTGAATTTTATGGAATGTCATTTATAATAAAAGTAATGACAAGATTAGGAGAAATGTTTGGAAATTTAATTCCTGGTTTAAATAAAGAAGGAATTAAAAGAAGGCCATTACATTTTTTACAACAACATTCACAAATGTTAGAAAGAGAAGCCGATTTATTAGGACAAGAAATTATGGCACGTGCAGGGTATGATCCAGCAAAAGCTATAGAATTATGGGAATTAATGGTATCTTTGGAAGAAACAAATAAAAGTTCAATGGAACAACTTCAAATACCAAAATCATCTCATGATGAAGAAGGTCGTGGAATAAGGCATAGTAGTGATATTACTTTTAAATATCACCCTTTAAAAGAACATAGAGTCAAATATTTGACCGAAAATTTATTACAAGTTCAACATTTATATGTAAATTATAAAAAAATAGATTAATTTTTAACATACAGTATATGTAATAAAATAATCAAATATAAGTTATACGTATGATATTTGATTTTTTAATTAATATATATTCGAATATATTGGGGAAACGAAAATTTGTAAATCATACGTAGAAAAACGATCATACAATTATTATTACATGTGATTAAATACGTATAAAGCTAGTCATTCTAGTCGTTTTGATAACACAATAAAATGAACGATTATTATAAAATTAATTTTGAAGAACGCAGCATAAAATTAATTTAATTAGAATATTTAACTATATACAGTATTATGTGTGTTACCGAATTACTTAACTACGTAGCGGTAATATCGATATATTATTTTAATAACGATAATAAACCGTTATACATTAGTCATATTAATTACCGCTATATATAATATTATATGATGAATTGAATATCATAATACAGTATATTCGGCAATAAAAAATTAATTAATTGAACAAAGTAAACGGGGAGGCTTGTTTTTAACGTTAAGTATAGGAAGGTACCGCCCGCTGATAACGATACCAATACGTGTTCAATTTATAATGTATTCAGATAACAATGGCTTTAAAAAGATCGGATCTTGCAATTTTTAAATACATGCGTTTTAATTGTTTTAATTATTCAGTGACAGTAAAACAGCCACAACAAATATTAACGCATTTTGAATTTTTAAAGCTTATTATGACAGATAGTAATGTGGTCATTTAAAAAGTGACAACTTTGATTACTAACAATAATCATGTTTGATGACGAATTGTCACAAATCTACTTCGGTATTAATTTTAAAAAAAATTCGAATGACCTAAAAACAGTTATTACGTTATTTAAAGTTTATACTTTATTAAGATAATAGCATTATTGCATAATATAATTAATCAAGAGTGTCAAGAGTTGTTTAAATTGATATTGAAATTGATCGAAATGATATCATGCTTTATAAATTCCGAATCTTAATGACCAATTACTTTTTATTTCTTATTATCACACATCATTTTTGTTAACTGGACTACGCATAAAAACCCGTTTTTTTTTTTTTATTGCGCTTAGCTCAATTAGTAGAATTGTTAGAATTCTTAATTGCTTTTAAAAAAAAAATATTCGATAAAAATTCTTTATACTTAAATTCTTTATCTGAAAATTCTTTATTAAAAGATGTCGCTCGATGAACAATCTGATTTCTCCTTGGTAATTAAAGAACCCGATGATCATTGGGTTGCGGATATCCTTGATTTATACGGATACAATGTTGAAAAATCTCCTCAAGTAGAATCTTCAAATTTCAAGATCGTTACTCCAAAAATGGTTCGAGACATTATCCGTAATAAAGAATTACTCGTCCCATCATCTTGTCACTCTTTGAAGGATAGGAATGATTACATAATCCTCCTTCTAAGATATGTACTTCAAGATGGTGCTTTCACTGAATTGACTGGTGTACCCCTTGTACCTGTTAATTGCATCTCCTATTCCGCATTCGGTACTCAACAATATTATTTGGCACTTTCTTCGGATTTACAATTCTTTCCAACTGTTGGTTGCTTTGTATTGATTACCGTTGAATTACCCGATGACCTTAAATCAATTTTTGATTCAACAGAATTTCAATCTATTAATAAGGTTAAAAAATTAGATTTTAATGGTTTTTGTAACCTTTTTCGTCATGAATTACCAAGAGCTCCAATTATTGATTGGGATCCTGGTACTACTACTTCTTTCCTTAATAAACGTTGGATTAAAAATTTCTGGGAAAGAATTTCTAAATTTAATGATTATGATTTGAAATTACTTGGAAATTATCCACTTATTCCTATAATTACTACAACTCATAATTATGAACTTATTTCCGTAAAAAATGATCTTCCTATATTGAGAATTCCTAGAAGAAAAGATGATGTAATAGATATCTTAAGAAAACTCGGTATTTTCTTTACAGAAGAACCAAGAACTGATATTACAAAAAAATTTATTTGGGATTGGAGTCCTTCAATGGTCATTAAAGCTATTGATAAATCGGTCTAGATAAAATTATAAAAATAAAATTTTTTAAATTAATATAAATTAATATAAATTAATTAAATAAATATAAATTAATTAAATAAATTAAAATTAATTAAATAAATTAAAATTAATATAATAAATTAAATAAATTAATACCTTTTCGATACATTTCGCAATGATTTGCGACAATATATTCACGAAGTTTATCCTTTTCATCATCACTTATATGTTGAAACTAAAAATACATACTACTTTTTTTTAT